GTCAAAATCATTTGCCGCACCAAAGTAACCGTGACCTCCTCTACCATCAAGCTGAGTGAGTGAAGAACCTCCATTTTCGAACACTGGTATCGATTTTGCCGGCCCTCTCTACACAAGATTTATATATGTCTCTTTACCTGTACCTCCACCAGAACGGTTCATCTCGAACTCTTCGATAGTCTATCTGTTTCTGCATTTCTTCAAACCTTTAAACGCTTCGCCGCTCGAAAGGGTCTACCTTGTCGATTGCTGTCGGAAAACGCTAAGCCTGCCGCGAAGGCGCTGGTCGCTTACCGGAAGTTCAACGTTTCCTAGCAACCAAGGGCACTGTCTGGAATTTCATATTTAAGCAATAAAGCACTTTTTCCCGTATTTACATAGCCTCATCTAAACACAAGGGAGGCTGGGAGAATTCTCGGGTTTGCATAACTTTCGAGAATTCTCCCAATCCCCCGGGTGTTTAGATGAGTCTATGTAAACACGGAAAAAGTGCTCTATTGGTTTTATAAAATAATTCTCAAAGATACACGCAAATCTAAAACGTCACAACCGTGTTTACATATTCTCATCTAAACACACCTATCGACCAATGAGAGCGAGCGCAGTAGCTCTTGCAGTAATTTTATAAAATGACCCGAACTCATCAAACGTTAAGGTATTATGGCTCCTGTACAACCTGCACTGAACACATGCCAAGTCTATGTGCTGTTTTACGTGAGGAAAGTAACTCCCGTTTCTCGACTTGTATGAACACCTGAAAGTGAGAAACAAAGGCAAACAAATATGAGTAATTTTAGGTAACACTTGACGTTCGTAAATTAAAAGTCAACTTTAAATCAACTTTAAAATGTAAAAGTTAAGACCTTTTCAGCCAGGGGTGAAACACACCCAAGACCTTATTCATAAGTAATTGAAAACCAAACCACTAATAGCTTATTTATTATTAAGAAAGTAAACCATACTCCAATTCTACTCAAACTTGTTCAATGAAAAATCTGGAGGTGGGACATGTCTTTTGTATTGTCATTCTCGGGAGACATCAAGTCTCAATTCATTAATTGTTTATTATTCATGCGAGTATTCCTTGTAGTGTCATTCGTCACCAATAAATCAACAACATCTTTCTTAATAATTTCTGGCATCTGTGGTAACACCCACAATCGCTAAATCCTAATCATATAAACCCAAAATCACAGCAAAACTCGTCATTTACCGATACAGTGGAACTCCTTTAAAGAGGTCACCAACGGGCCACAAAAATCTGGCCGTTTAACGGCGTGGCCGTATTAAAGGGGTTCTTTAATTGAGAAAATGACTGACTGAGCTCTTGCTCGGACCAGAATAAAGTGGCCGTAACAACGAGGTGGCCGTGTTAACGGGGTGGCCGTAAGGCGGGGTTCCACTGTATTTCACATTTTCAAATAAAAGTTACAAACAGGCGATTTACATGATGGCGTCATTTGACTTCAACTAGCAGAATTTTCATTGTCTGTTTCTTATGTTAATTGGTGCCCATTGCTATTTAAACTCGACTAAGGCCCGGGTCGCACTAGAGCCAATTTTGTTTGTATAAGTAATAAATCTGTCAACAAGTAGCGTAAAATAAGTGCGACCCCCAGTTTCAAAAATTTGCCAAATTTTTGCGGATTGCCAAAATTTCGCCAATCTTCAGAGAAGCCGAAGTGCTGCCTCGGAGGCTTCCAAATTTTGGCAAAGCGAACAATGTTTTTTTTTTTTAACCATTTAACTGTCATATTTTTTAAAACAATACGGCGAGGAAACAACTTGGACGCCCGGGTCGCACTATAATTTGAATAGTAAAGAAAAAAACGAAAGAGATTCTGGTAGTTGTAGTGAAATGACGACAACATACAAATCTGCTATTCGTGCAAGTTGCCCTGTAACACGAGCCGGTTTCAGTTATTTGTAGGAGATCAAGAAGCTAAATCAAGAAGCTAGATTTTCGACACAGGAAAATAATGATAGCAACCTTGAAAACTAAAAGCAGGGAGGAAAAGGGAGTGAAACTCTCTACACCACACTCGACCCAGTAGATCACGTGACCGGCGTTTCGCGCTCGTGGATATAAATAAATGACTAAGGTAGTGAGCCGCAGAAAAACTCAGCAGTAAGAAGCTTAACTTAACACGAAGTCGTCGTAAGGTAAGATAGCTCTTTGTCAGCTTTATAATGATGCGTGAATCATTTATCTGTTTTCTAACCAATTAAGACTATTTATAGGAAAGGTATTCTACCCATTAAAATCGCATTGCATTGGGTCGCTAAACTAACTCTGTAGCTTCTCTTAAGTGCTTGTAAATGTAACAAAACGGTTTACTTATTCAACTCTGTAGAACCTGCTTATTAACTTACCTAACGTGAATACAAAAGTCCGTTGCAAACAAAGCGTTTTATCGATTGTCGCACAAGACTGCTTTCCTGTGTTCTACGTCGGTAGCGTCCTTCTCATTGTGTAATTACGTAACATATGATACACCCCCCTTTTCTACTTGTTAATCGAGGTACGCACATTTATCTTATCAGCCAGGCGCGAGGGCCTTATCATATTATTAACGGCGCTAGGTCTTGATGTAGCAATCAGTGCACAAGAGTCTGTGGGCTGATATTCTGACAGTTCGGTCCTAAGAAATCAATTTTATTACACGTGGATTTTCTGATTGATGATGAGCTTTCAGCTTAACTAGTGGACCTGCAAGAAGCATTCACTGTTCAAGCGAGCGAACGAACAGTCAAACAGACGGAGAGACACGTTAAATTTTATTCTATAAAACTGGTAAGACGTGCTACTGACTAACTTCGATTATGTAACATCAAGAGAAAAAGTAACATTTGTGGCGATTTAAAGGGTATTCCTTGGATTTTTATGCTTCCTTTAGACAGCTTGAGAAAACAGTGAATCTTTCTTCCAACTACCATCCGCAAAGATGTCAAAGATGGCGAGTCAGTGTAGCGAGTGTTCTGAAAAGTTTCGGTTGGGAAATTCAAACACACACCGTCAGAAACGCTCACGCCACATGCCTGCGTCGCTTACAATAGAAACCACCCACGACTGTTGTTTTAATTAGTAGCCTTAGGGGATATGGGCGATTATCTCTATTAGGATTCTTTTCCAAATTAGTTCTCGATCGAGAAGTTGAATTTTATTTTTTCTAGTGTTGCTTAAAAGACACTGATTTAAAGTTCGACACCCGATTGACTGACTCTAATGGTTACCTGAAAGACAATGCATTCAAAACACAATAACATTACTATCGACAAAAGCCGATATCTGATTCCCGGATTGATTGCATAATCAAACACGCGAGCGAAGAACAGTTTCGTTACTCTTCTTATGTTTTCCACGACAGGAAACACTGTGACATCAGCGAAAGCACAAGTACAAGAAATCCAAAAGCCGTTTGTTCTTCTTTTTGTTTATCGGGTGTGAACCACGCGGCGAAAATGCAGTGGCGTGACTTGCCAAGAGCGAACATTTTCAATATATGATTTAAATTGTTAATTTGTGTTTAAGAAACATGAGAAGTTTAGAAATGTATTGGTCAGCGGTTATCGTGGTTAGTCCTTTTAAGGCCCCGTCCACAGGTATCCGGATATTTTTGAATCCGCAACTTTTTCTTTCCGGAAACGGCTTCCGTCCACACGCATCCGGCAAATTCGGCAGCGAATCCGAATATTTTTGCTACGTAAGGACGGGGGAATTTTTGAATCCGGAAAGAAAAAGTTGCGGATTCAAAAATATCCGGATACGTGTTGACGGGGGCGTAAGTGTTGAACACCGAAAAAGAATGAAAATTTCATGACTACAACTGTTTTTATATTCAGTTGTATTGCAGGCAGTTTATCACCAGTTTTCATTGCGTCGTGTAAACACACAACCTAAAATAGCTATAACTACTATATGCCTTCCTTCCTGCTTGCACCATATGCACTGTTTTCCTGAAGTTTATTGTCGTACTTACTTACTTACTTACTTATTTACTTACTCGTTCTCTTATTTTGGTTTGCTCTTATTATTTGAGTATTATAACGAAATTTTCAAAGTAGAAATTTTTCAAGGTAGAAACATCAACTCGGAAAAAAATCCGAGTTCCAGATGGGATTTGAACCCACGACCCTCCGTGATCCTCCACTGAGCTACTGGAGACTCTATGGTGAGCAAGGGTGAAATGTGGGTCTTTGACTGGAACCGCATCGCGCAGTCACACAGCCAAATGATGTCATGGCGCACATGAACTCACTAACTACATCGCGCAGTCACATTAAGGCATATCAAAGATGCAACCAACCACCCTCCAAAGTGAGTATTATAAGGAAATTTTCAAAGTAGAAATTTTTCAAGGTAGAAACATCAACGACATCAACGACTTGAATGTCAAATCAGTTGACTTTGTTGATTGTCCTCCTGTCTTTCTTGAGTTTCATTCACTTGAGTTGCTTGCCTTACTTGAGTTTTCTTGTGTTATCTGGCTGGAGTTTCTTGTCTGCTTTCTTCAGTTCCTTGTCTTACTCAGTTGCGTTTAATTCTTGCCTCAGTAACTTGTGTTGCTTGGCTTTGTAGGAGTTCCTTGTAGACATATTTTCTCGGACAATCAATCAATCAATCAATTCTGTCCACGGGGGAAAGGCGCAACTGATGTTAACCCTGTGTAAAGCACTAACCCGTGAGATAAGGCCAGTCCATGACGGCGGGAAACTCCATGCCCTACTTTCAGTCTGCGATAAGCGTGTGGGTTCTTTAACGTCCCCTGCTAGCCATGTAACAATGAAGATGCAGGACAGGACCTACGGTTTACATAGTCCTTATCCGAGAGAACTTGGGCGTCTAACCATTTGCAGATGTAATTTACAAAGGCAGCACATTCTCATCAGTTATTTTAAGACCCTGAGTGTTGGTCCGGTCTGGGGCTCGAACCCTCTTGCTTTGGCTCTCTCTTAGAATTGTCACGCCTTGCCAAATATTTTCTTCGCCTTACNCAAACCTCCAGTAAGATGGCACTCGCTCGCTTATGATCTTCGAGCCTTAAAAGACGTTAGAGTCCCTCGCTGCTACTTTCGTTTCACCAATGAACAACCCGTTAATCATCAAATTCAAGGATTCTGTGATGCGTCGGACAACGCTTTTGTAACAGCCGTTTCTCTTCGTGGAGGGCAGAACCTGAGAAGTCGAAGTCAACCTTGAGGCATCTAAGAAATGAGTGGCTCCAATCGCGAAGCAGACCACGTCGCGACTAATGTTGCTGGGAGCAACCCTACTTGCAAGATTAGTTCACTCCGTTCTACGAGCTTCCACGTCAGTAACGGCCCCTCCCGAGGTTACACTGTGGACCGATTCTTTCAGAACACTACGATGGATCACGAACAACCCAGCGTACTGGAAACAATACGTTCAACCTCGAATCAAAGAAATCAGATAACTAACAAGCATTCACCTGTTCACCAATGGAGGCATTGCCCAGGAGAAGTAAACCCCCGCTGACTTACCGTCTCAAGGACGGTTTCGCACAAGATCTCAAAGAAAATGAAACCTGGTGAACTGGAGCGCGTTTTCTTAAACTCGTAGGGCAGCAATGGCATAAAGATCCACAACCCACCAGCAAAGACAGGAACAAGCCTTCGCCTACCCTGCGAACAGGCTCCCGGCGAGCCCGAAAGAAGCCCCGATCGCTTCGCTCTCCAAATTCTTCAGTTTCGCGCTCGTCCACTCGCCTTGCTCGCCGAATTGTTTTCTGTCCTCGCCGGGAGCTTGTTTGCAGGCTAGCCTTCGCCGAACTGATTAAGCTTGTACCGACAATAATACACTAATTAGCTGGTCTGTCAACAAGTACCGATGGCTCCGTCAATCTTGAGAAGTTAATCACCCTCAGAGATACAGCGCCAAAACCAAAAAGATGCTCCGATTAACTGCTATTGTCCTTCGATTTACAAGAAATGTGAGGAAAAGCGATCCACGCTCCAAAACGCTCGGGTTGCTCGCTGAAGAGTTGATAGAGGTAGAGAAAATGTGGATAAAAAACATTCAATCCTCTGCATCTCAAGACGAAATTCGACAACTCATAAACGGTGGTACGAATGTGATGGTCTAGCATCCTCGATGTAGCAACATCGTTCGCTGTCAAGGAAGAATCAACAGATCCACTTTGCCCGAGCCCGCCAAAGAGCGAATATTCCTCCCTTCGTTTGCGAAAAACACGAAGTAGCTGATGCACCATGACGGAATCAAAGAAACTCTTAACTGTATTAGAGAGAAGCATTGGGTCTTGAGAGGTCGCGAGGCTGTCAAAGGAGTCACGTCAAAATCATTTGCCGCACCAAAGTAACCGTGACCTCCTCTACCATCAAGCTGAGTGAGTGAAGAACCTCCATTTTCGAACACTGGTATCGATTTTGCCGGCCCTCTCTACACAAGATTTATATATGTCTCTTTACCTGTACCTCCACCAGAACGGTTCATCTCGAACTCTTCGATAGTCTATCTGTTTCTGCATTTCTTCAAACCTTTAAACGCTTCGCCGCTCGAAAGGGTCTACCTTGTCGATTGCTGTCGGAAAACGCTAAGCCTGCCGCGAAGGCGCTGGTCGCTTACCGGAAGTTCAACGTTTCCTAGCAACCAAGGGCACTGTCTGGAATTTCATATTTAAGCAATAAAGCACTTTTTCCCGTATTTACATAGCCTCATCTAAACACAAGGGAGGCTGGGAGAATTCTCGGGTTTGCATAACTTTCGAGAATTCTCCCAATCCCCCGGGTGTTTAGATGAGTCTATGTAAACACGGAAAAAGTGCTCTATTGGTTTTATAAAATAATTCTCAAAGATACACGCAAATCTAAAACGTCACAACCGTGTTTACATATTCTCATCTAAACACACCTATCGACCAATGAGAGCGAGCGCAGTAGCTCTTGCAGTAATTTTATAAAATGACCCGAACTCATCAAACGTTAAGGTATTATGGCTCCTGTACAACCTGCACTGAACACATGCCAAGTCTATGTGCTGTTTTACGTGAGGAAAGTAACTCCCGTTTCTCGACTTGTATGAACACCTGAAAGTGAGAAACAAAGGCAAACAAATATGAGTAATTTTAGGTAACACTTGACGTTCGTAAATTAAAAGTCAACTTTAAATCAACTTTAAAATGTAAAAGTTAAGACCTTTTCAGCCAGGGGTGAAACACACCCAAGACCTTATTCATAAGTAATTGAAAACCAAACCACTAATAGCTTATTTATTATTAAGAAAGTAAACCATACTCCAATTCTACTCAAACTTGTTCAATGAAAAATCTGGAGGTGGGACATGTCTTTTGTATTGTCATTCTCGGGAGACATCAAGTCTCAATTCATTAATTGTTTATTATTCATGCGAGTATTCCTTGTAGTGTCATTCGTCACCAATAAATCAACAACATCTTTCTTAATAATTTCTGGCATCTGTGGTAACACCCACAATCGCTAAATCCTAATCATATAAACCCAAAATCACAGCAAAACTCGTCATTTACCGATACAGTGGAACTCCTTTAAAGAGGTCACCAACGGGCCACAAAAATCTGGCCGTTTAACGGCGTGGCCGTATTAAAGGGGTTCTTTAATTGAGAAAATGACTGACTGAGCTCTTGCTCGGACCAGAATAAAGTGGCCGTAACAACGAGGTGGCCGTGTTAACGGGGTGGCCGTAAGGCGGGGTTCCACTGTATTTCACATTTTCAAATAAAAGTTACAAACAGGCGATTTACATGATGGCGTCATTTGACTTCAACTAGCAGAATTTTCATTGTCTGTTTCTTATGTTAATTGGTGCCCATTGCTATTTAAACTCGACTAAGGCCCGGGTCGCACTAGAGCCAATTTTGTTTGTATAAGTAATAAATCTGTCAACAAGTAGCGTAAAATAAGTGCGACCCCCAGTTTCAAAAATTTGCCAAATTTTTGCGGATTGCCAAAATTTCGCCAATCTTCAGAGAAGCTAAAGTGCTGCCTCGGAGTCTTCCAAATTTTGGCAAAGCGAACAATGTTTTTTTTTTTTTAACCATTTAACTGTCATATTTTTTAAAACAATACGGCGAGGAAACAACTTTGACGCCCGGGTCGCACTATAATTTAAATAGTAAAGAAAAAAACGAAAGAGATTCTGGTAATTGTAGTGAAATGACGACAACGTGCAAATCTGCTATTCGTGCAAGTTGCCCTGTAACACGAGCCGGTTTCAGTTATTTGTAGGAGATCAAGAAGCTAAATCAAGAAGCTAGATTTTCGACACAGGAAAATAATGATAGCAACCTTGAAAACTAAAAGCAGGGAGGAAAAGGGAGTGAAACTCTCTACACCACACTCGACCCAGTAGATCACGTGACCGGCGTTTCGCGCTCGTGGATATAAATAAATGACTAAGGTAGTGAGCCGCAGAAAAACTCAGCAGTAAGAAGCTTAACTTAACACGAAGTCGTCGTAAGGTAAGATAGCTCTTTGTCAGCTTTATAATGATGCGTGAATCATTTATCTGTTTTCTAACCAATTAAGACTATTTATAGGAAAGGTATTCTACCCATTAAAATCGCATTGCATTGGGTCGCTAAACTAACTCTGTAGCTTCTCTTAAGTGCTTGTAAATGTAACAAAACGGTTTACTTATTCAACTCTGTAGAACCTGCTTATTAACTTACCTAACGTGAATACAAAAGTCCGTTGCAAACAAAGCGTTTTATCGATTGTCGCACAAGACTGCTTTCCTGTGTTCTACGTCGGTAGCGTCCTTCTCATTGTGTAATTACGTAACATATGATACACCCCCCTTTTCTACTTGTTAATCGAGGTACGCACATTTATCTTATCAGCCAGGCGCGAGGGCCTTATCATATTATTAACGGCGCTAGGTCTTGATGTAGCAATCAGTGCACAAGAGTCTGTGGGCTGATATTCTGACAGTTCGGTCCTAAGAAATCAATTTTATTACACGTGGATTTTCTGATTGATGATGAGCTTTCAGCTTAACTAGTGGACCTGCAAGAAGCATTCACTGTTCAAGCGAGCGAACGAACAGTCAAACAGACGGAGAGACACGTTAAATTTTATTCTATAAAACTGGTAAGACGTGCTACTGACTAACTTCGATTATGTAACATCAAGAGAAAAAGTAACATTTGTGGCGATTTAAAGGGTATTCCTTGGATTTTTATGCTTCCTTTAGACAGCTTGAGAAAACAGTGAATCTTTCTTCCAACTACCATCCGCAAAGATGTCAAAGATGGCGAGTCAGTGTAGCGAGTGTTCTGAAAAGTTTCGGTTGGGAAATTCAAACACACACCGTCAGAAACGCTCACGCCACATGCCTGCGTCGCTTACAATAGAAACCACCCACGACTGTTGTTTTAATTAGTAGCCTTAGGGGATATGGGCGATTATCTCTATTAGGATTCTTTTCCAAATTAGTTCTCGATCGAGAAGTTGAATTTTATTTTTTCTAGTGTTGCTTAAAAGACACTGATTTAAAGTTCGACACCCGATTGACTGACTCTAATGGTTACCTGAAAGACAATGCATTCAAAACACAATAACATTACTATCGACAAAAGCCGATATCTGATTCCCGGATTGATTGCATAATCAAACACGCGAGCGAAGAACAGTTTCGTTACTCTTCTTATGTTTTCCACGACAGGAAACACTGTGACATCAGCGAAAGCACAAGTACAAGAAATCCAAAAGCCGTTTGTTCTTCTTTTTGTTTATCGGGTGTGAACCACGCGGCGAAAATGCAGTGGCGTGACTTGCCAAGAGCGAACATTTTCAATATATGATTTAAATTGTTAATTTGTGTTTAAGAAACATGAGAAGTTTAGAAATGTATTGGTCAGCGGTTATCGTGGTTAGTCCTTTTAAGGCCCCGTCCACAGGTATCCGGATATTTTTGAATCCGCAACTTTTTCTTTCCGGAAACGGCTTCCGTCCACACGCATCCGGCAAATTCGGCAGCGAATCCGAATATTTTTGCTACGTAAGGACGGGGGAATTTTTGAATCCGGAAAGAAAAAGTTGCGGATTCAAAAATATCCGGATACGTGTTGACGGGGGCGTAAGTGTTGAACACCGAAAAAGAATGAAAATTTCATGACTACAACTGTTTTTATATTCAGTTGTATTGCAGGCAGTTTATCACCAGTTTTCATTGCGTCGTGTAAACACACAACCTAAAATAGCTATAACTACTATATGCCTTCCTTCCTGCTTGCACCATATGCACTGTTTTCCTGAAGTTTATTGTCGTACTTACTTACTTACTTACTTATTTACTTACTCGTTCTCTTATTTTGGTTTGCTCTTATTATTTGAGTATTATAACGAAATTTTCAAAGTAGAAATTTTTCAAGGTAGAAACATCAACTCGGAAAAAAATCCGAGTTCCAGATGGGATTTGAACCCACGACCCTCCGTGATCCTCCACTGAGCTACTGGAGACTCTATGGTGAGCAAGGGTGAAATGTGGGTCTTTGACTGGAACCGCATCGCGCAGTCACACAGCCAAATGATGTCATGGCGCACATGAACTCACTAACTACATCGCGCAGTCACATTAAGGCATATCAAAGATGCAACCAACCACCCTCCAAAGTGAGTATTATAAGGAAATTTTCAAAGTAGAAATTTTTCAAGGTAGAAACATCAACGACATCAACGACTTGAATGTCAAATCAGTTGACTTTGTTGATTGTCCTCCTGTCTTTCTTGAGTTTCATTCACTTGAGTTGCTTGCCTTACTTGAGTTTTCTTGTGTTATCTGGCTGGAGTTTCTTGTCTGCTTTCTTCAGTTCCTTGTCTTACTCAGTTGCGTTTAATTCTTGCCTCAGTAACTTGTGTTGCTTGGCTTTGTAGGAGTTCCTTGTAGACATATTTTCTCGGACAATCAATCAATCAATCAATTCTGTCCACGGGGGAAAGGCGCAACTGATGTTAACCCTGTGTAAAGCACTAACCCGTGAGATAAGGCCAGTCCATGACGGCGGGAAACTCCATGCCCTACTTTCAGTCTGCGATAAGCGTGTGGGTTCTTTAACGTCCCCTGCTAGCCATGTAACAATGAAGATGCAGGACAGGACCTACGGTTTACATAGTCCTTATCCGAGAGAACTTGGGCGTCTAACCATTTGCAGATGTAATTTACAAAGGCAGCACATTCTCATCAGTTATTTTAAGACCCTGAGTGTTGGTCCGGTCTGGGGCTCGAACCCTCTTGCTTTGGCTCTCTCTTAGAATTGTCACGCCTTGCCAAATATTTTCTTCGCCTTACCTAAGTATTACTTATACAATAATAAGACGTCAAACATAGTTGAGTAAATGAAGGCATCAAGAAATCACGCTCAGTTATCGAGTTTTATAGAACATGCGCAGGCTTTATTGATGCATACACACGGCCACCGACAACTGGGGACGAGACGTTTTACAATTCCGGAAAGGCAAATTTACTGTAGGCCATCAATGACCGCTGATCTTTAGCAAGGTTTCCTACAAGGAGCCAGATAGTTGAAACTACTGAACAAAATGTAACCTTAGTAACCTTCCGTGATGACATGGCAAATATTAGGCTCGTTGTTGTATTTAACGAAAAAATAAATGAGAACGCAAAACAGTAGGTAGGGAATTTTGAAGCTTCACGGCCTCTGACGTCATCATGATACCGACAAAGGTCTTACTAAGGATGGAATTGTCAATTAAACAGCAAAGCACATTGGATGAGTCAGCTTTGCCGCCCACACTTTCACGGGCAACTGAGCTCTTATTCAAGGGACAAGAATATATCGGAGATTTTGGGTAAGTTTCTTATCAATGTACTCGGCTTTTAGTGCTTTAGCCTCTGTACATGAAAACCTTGTAGTAGTAATACCAGAAATACCAAACGGCTGAGCTTGTTTGTCGATCGAGGCTAGAAACCGGCTCCACATTGTTTATATTTTCATCAGGAATACAATACTAAAGTTAGATAAGTTGTGTAAGAGAAAGCAGGAATATACATTGGTACACAGCTGCGTCGTCCGGTAATTTGTGCCAAAGATTTGTTTTCTGAGTTTGTTTGATATATGCTCATATCTTTTTGATCGGTAATGTGACGTATATTGTATTACTGTATTATTCAGGCATGATATTTTGGAGCATAGGCAAAGAAATTGGATTTTCAGCTTGCCTATATGTACCTACTGAAATCAAAAAAGATATTAAGTTAGCTTAGTTTAAAAATAGAGTAAAACGAAAAACCATGGCATAGGGATATAGAGGGTCCGGACCGATAATGGAAAAGTGAAGACGTGTTTTCCCTCGCTCCGCTTCGTTTGAATGTCGAAATATACATTTCTAGCGTCTCCTTCATTGCATGGCTGAACTCTTTACTGCCTAGCAAATTGAAACGAACAACCAGAAGCAGAGGTGGTTTGGAAGCTGTTTCTCCTGACGGCAAGAGAATTACGAAGCGAGTGACAAAGAAATCGAATCAAGCGCTGACGGCAACGGCAAGAACTTTACTGCAACTTTGACCATAACGGAAATCATTGTTCAGCGACTTTAACAAGTAACAGAAAGACTTACGAACGTGGAAGGCAAATATTGTTAAGAACAGAGGGGGTTGGACACGGTTCGCGTATTCGACCAATCACTTGTCGTCTCGCCCGGAGCTATGGCGGACACATTTGTCGATGCGTGTTGAGAGTAGGTTGTCGTTTCTCAACCGATTTCTGCGCTCATCAAGAACATAAAACGAGCCTTTTCTAGGAGCGGCTAGTTTAATATCTAGGCCAGTTATTTGCAAAGTCTCAATCACAGGTAAGCATTTTTTTGTATCAAAACTGGTCAATAGAAATCAATCTATGTTGACATGGATACATGATCACTTTTTTGAACTCACATTTACTTATATCAAACTTCTTTCCAATTCATCAAGTTTAAACAAAGGAAATTATGACCCTGACGGTGTTTGCATATCTGATCTTACGGTAATTAGCATAGATTTTTACGATTTTATTTTCCGCGTTCTCTTTAGTTCTAGTGACCCTCATCTTTCCATATCATTTTCAGCGCACGGAGATGTTTGCCGTTCGGCGATCAGATGAAAATGAGCTCGATCGAAAAAAAAAACTTTCTTTCTTCCGGTAGGCTTTACGAGTCGTGTCCAACACCGCCTGAAGAAGCCGACCGTTGTCCCTAACAGCAGGCAGCCGGCAGAATTAACCGGCTACATTACTTTCAAAAAATTTCGAACGTTAGAAAGAGGCTAAGACACGCGCTTGGAAGTCGCACCCCATTTTACACAGGAAAATTGAGCGAATATCACGCGATTTCCATTCGTCAAGAGCGCGGCAATGAAAACGACGGTTATAGATGGCCTGAACTGTTGCCTTGTCAACTATTAGGCTATATGCCCGGCATAGTAAATCGTACCTTGGAAAAGCAAAGGCAATCAAACTCAATCAAACTCAGTTGAACTCAATCAGATCGAACTCAATCAAACCTAATCCGCGGATTGAGTTCGATTATGTTCGACACAGTAATTTTTCTAAACTGTTTATTGTTTTT